AAACCGCCATCCAATTGGAGACGGCCTTCCGAGCCACTGCGAGGCTTCCCTTAAAACCAGGCGCGAATATAAATATTAGGCAAAAATCCAGTTTGCAGGGTAATTGTAAAGTGAGCTAATTGTAACGTACATAAATTGGAAATAGCGAATGTGTTAGAATGTCCTACATGGTGGAATAATAATGCTCTATAATCCTCTCGATACATTGATATGTTCAACATAACTTAGGCTCGGGGCCGGCTCGAATGATTCGGAGCCGAGCTCCACAGGCATAGAGCCAGCTGGAATGGTTCGGAGCCAAGCTCCACGGGCTCGAAGGCCGGCTCGAATGATTCGGAGCCGAGCTCCTATGATTCAATGACTCAATCTTATGATTCAATGATTCAATCTTATGATTCAATGATTCAATCTTATGATTCAATGATTCAATCTATGATTCAATGATTCAATCTTATGATTCAATGATTCAATCTTATGATTCAATGATTCAATCTATGATTCAATGATTCACTCTATGATTCAATGATTCAATCTTATGATTCAATGATTCAATCTTATGATCCAATGATTCAATCTTATGATCCAATGATTCACTCCATGATTCAATCATTCACTCTACCATTCAATGATTCAATTTTATCATTCAATGATTCACTCTATGATTCTACGATTTAATCTTATGATTCAATGATTCAATTTTATGGATCAATGATTCACAGAGGAGTAGAGGCTCCATAGGCTCGGAGCCTAAGGAGATCGGCTCCGAGCCTAAGGAGCTGGCTCCGAGCCTAAGGAGCCTCTACTCCTCTGTGAATCATTGATCCATAAGGTTGAATCATTGAATCATAAGATTAAATCGTAGAATCATAGAGTGAATCATTGAATGATAAAATTGAATCATTGAATGGTAGAGTGAGTGATTGAATCATGGAGTGAATCATTGGATCATAAGATTGAATCATTGGATCATAAGATTGAATCATTGAATCATAAGATTGAATCATTGAATCATAGAGTGAATCATTGAATCATAGATTGAATCATTGAATCATAAGATTGAATCATTGAATCATAGAGTGAATCATTGAATCATAGATTGAATAATTGAATCATAAGATTGAATCATTGAATCATAGAGTGAATCATTGAATCATAAGATTGAATCATTGAATCATAAGATTGAATCATTGAATCATAGAGTGAATCATTAAATCATAAGATTGGCCGTATTTATATTAGAAGACGGCTTTAACGTCTGAGACGACTTAACCGTCTGAGCTTGGCTCCGAACCATTCCAGCTGGCTCTATGCCTGTGGAGCTCGGCTCCGAATCATTCGAGCCGGCCCCGAGCCTAAGTTATGTTGAACATATCAATATATCGAGAGGATTATAGAACATTATTATTCCACCATGTAGGACATTCTAACACATTCGCTATTTCCAATTTATGTACGTTACAATTAGCTCACTTTACAATTACGCTGCAAACTGGATTTTTGCCTAATATTTATATTCGCGCCTGGTTTTAAGGGAAGCCTCGCAGTGGCTCGGAAGGCCGTCTCCAATTGGATGGCGGTTTCCTAACGAACGAAGCAATTCATTGTTATAAGGCCCGTTTAGACCCAATGGCCCGAAGCGCATTCTTCGTTCGTGGAAGCCCAGACACCACTGCAGAAAAATTGATTAGTTTATGTATACACAAATGTATACATTTTCGTATTCGCATGTTTTTGCCATTTTGATTTGTATCCGGCCAACCCATGCATTTAAAAATGACATTTATAATTGGAAAGCAATTTATTTTAATGACTCGAAGTTACATGCTGTGTCTATACTGGTATCGTTTTACATGCTAATACTGCTCGAGTACAAGACTTCAATCCTATATGCGACCTATCAGCCGAGTCTAATCATCATTGCATGTCATCATCATTCTCTTCATCAGAATCATAGCACATGCTCATCTGCTCATAACTGCTCATGAGCACATGCTCATTTGCTCATAACTGCTCATGAGCACATGCTCATAAAACTGCAGTGCTGCTCAATAACAAGGCATTTCTACATAAAAATAACAAGAAAAGACAGGTATAATTGAAAAGCAATTTATTTTAATGACTCGAAGTTACATGCTGTGTCTATACTGGTATTGTTTTGCATGCTAATACTGTTCGAGTACAAGACTTCAATCCTATATTCGACCTATCAGTCGAGTCTAATCATCATTGCATATCATCATCATTCTCTTCATCAAAATCATACCCCTTTAAAAGCCTTCTTATAAGAAACTTTCTCTTATCAGCAGCTGCTTCTAACACTTCTTCTGGATCAAAATCATCGTTTTCCACAAGCGCATATTTTGTGTGCATTATCTTCTTATGTACTGGATCTTTCTTTAGTTGTCTCATCCACACGCGACGCTCCATATAAATATTTTCCAGTTCCTTCTGGAGTTTAGGCAGCATATTAGAGAAAGCTTTGTCCTTTGCGGATTGCTCATCTAGACCAATGTTTATAAGGCTTTCTTTCAATTCCTCCAAAGCTATATTTCTTCTTTGTTTGCTGCTTCTATCAACGGTATCCAAGGGTCCATTTCTTCTTCAGTTTCTGACTTATCAGTCCTCTTCGAAGTTTCAGACACATCAGTTGAAGTTCTTGAGACATCGTCCTGAAAATCCCTTTCCTGGCTATCCGAATCTGTTTGAGACATGTTTCTTTCTTGTGCGTAGGGGACAGTATTCCTTTTCGTGTCTTCGTAAATTGTAACCACGGTTAAATTTCTTTCTGCAAAATATGCAGCTCATTCCGTTTAGCACTGACTGCGTAGAAATGCCTTGTTATTGAGCAGCACTGTAGTTTTATGAGCAGATGAGCATGTGCTCATGAGCAGTTATGAGCAGATGAGCATGTGCTCATAAGCAGTTATGAGCAGATGAGCATGTGCTCATGAGCATGCTTTGCCTTCGTTATAATATTTCTGTTCAATTCTTCTTTTGACGTACAAATATTAAGCAATATGAAAAAAAGCAGAGTCAATCCGTTTCCTCCTAAGTCAGCATAAACGCGCCTGGGCAATGTCGTAAAAGTACAATGTGTTCAGCCATGTACGACAGTTAATGACTTTTGCTATTCAACCCGGATTAGTGATATTCAAATTTCGCCAGGTAATATTAGTCGCGTAACCATGCAATTAAGCGTTGCGTGAAATTGTAGATAAACAAACGGCAATGAAGTAATCAGACATCACCAAGAAGACGTAGATAAACAAACGGTAGCGAAATACCCTGAAATAAACTGAAAACTGCTGTAGACAGTAGACAAACAAACGGCAAATTATCATTTACAGGTAAAGTTTAAATAAATTAACATGAGTCCGAATAAATTAAACGACTTATGACGTCATGGGCGGAGCAAGTCGCTCCGCCTGCGCCAGAACCCCCACTCTCTATACTACTATTGTGTTTTATAAATACCTTGTCATCAACCTATATATATCGCATAGTTTCATCCAGGTTTTATGACGATGAAAATTATGTTGATTTTTTAAAATATTTTCGATAATACTATACAACTTCATGTAATTCAAACATTGTATGTATGTATGCGTGTGTATGCGTGTGTATGCGTGTGTATGTGTGTATGCGTGTATGTGTGTATGTGTGTATGTATGTATGTATGTATGTATGTATGTATGTATGTATGTATGTATGTATGTATGTATGTATGTATGTATGTATGTATGTATGTATGTATGTATGTATGTATGTATGTATGTATGTATGTATAAGTATTTATTAAAATATTTAGACACGACAAACGTGTGACTTTACATGGATGATAATGTTTCTATATATATTTACATGATTTTATAAGACTAAAATTAGAAATAGTCGCTAAAGTTAGAAAGTTAAAGTTTATATAAATTCATTTTTAGAAATTATTTATATCAAAAAGACATCTACAGTATTTACAAAACATCGCTTGAACCTTTTAGTCTTGACTTGTGGGAGGATATAGTTAAATGATTCCGTGTCCTTAAAGGTCTTTGTTTCTTTTCTGGGAAAAGTTCATAAAGAACGTGTTCGGTATTTTTAGTTATTTAATTTCTAAATAAAGCTCGGTCTCTCTCTTCAATTGACCATTTGCGTAATACTAATAGACTAAATTTTGATCTAAACAAGTCTAGACAAAAATTTCATCACAGCTTGAAAGAGCATCACAAAATTAGTAATATTCCAAAGTTTCGTTGCGAAATGTTGTAAAATGCGGAAAATATAGCCTTGCGAAGTTTGCAATTTTCAGTCATTTTAGATTACAAACGGGAAATTGATATAGTCCGTATTCCCAAGGCCAAAAAGTCGCTTAGAAAACAATTTTCGTTGGACACATTCGGAGACTACGTCAAAATCACAGAATATATAGATTCTTACGCACCTTTCAAAATTCTGCTTGTTGGCACTTCTATAAACCTGCAATTTTTCATAAATTTGCGTTTGAATTTCAACAATTGGCGCTCCTCGAAATTCGAAACCCGCCATTTTGTTTCCCTGGAAACTTGATGTAAGATGCATTGAAAAGGTGCTCACTATTGGAAACTTTATGTAATAATATTAAGAGGCAATTTTTTTCAATGTCACGTATTTGCAATGAAAAGTGTTCAAAACCTAAAATCTTTTTGGCGTTCCTCTCAAAATTACTTTGTTTTAGCTTTATTCTCTAGTTTATAGAGTTAGCTACCTTTTTAAATGCGTCTGCCGGTTGAGAAACATAAAATAATAGTTAAAAATTGTCAAGTAAAATAAATTATCAATGATGCTTTAAAATTGACGCCATATTTACAGCCATATAACTGCAAAACTTACTGAACTTCAGACATAATTTTCTCTTCGGCGTATCATCTAAAATCTCTTCATTTTAGCATTATGTTACAGATAAAGCACTAAATTTAGTCATAACCTCAAGTGGTATATTGTACGCATTAATTTTGAGCGCGTGTTACGTAACATACCAAAAAATCTCCTCTTAACAAAGAGGGTTTTGTCATGGCCGACTGAACATGGCAGAATTGGGAAATACATGTTTAATTTATTGCGAAGACAGTGTCGGGCCACTTACAAATTTTACAGAGGTTTCATTCGAAAGATTTCTGGAATGCCGGAAGCAATGGATACAACTTGACGGCCGTCAGAAAGACATAGCATTACGTACAACTCAAATTATAAGCATCGAGGAAGAAGATCGCTATGAAAATTTTAAAGAGTTGGCGTTTCATCGCAAATGCTATTCATGCAGCATTTACCAATAAAACCCTATTAAATCATGCTGAAGCAAGGCGCAAAAAAGCTGAAAAAGAGATCAAATCCCATCGGCATCGGTTGACCAAGGCAGTAGTGATCCTATCCCGAAGAAAGTTTTCCGATCAAGTTTAGCGGCGTCCACTAGTGCTACTAGATCAAGGAACGAGCACGTGTTACCTCCTGTCTGTATAGTTTGCAAGAAGAATTACACCGATTTGGTAAGTCAATCCTTTTTTGCTTTTATTTCGTCCGTGTATTGTCAATTCTGCTAATTCAACATGTCAGTTTCTGCTAATTTATAACTTTCAACCTTCATATGGCCGGTAATTTAAGTATCGTAAACCTCCGATTATAAGTCCCCCGAATATAATCCCCCCCCCGAATATAAGTCCCCCCACCAAATCCGCATTGGTGGTATTAGTAATCATTGTGCGTTGGAAGCGTAGTAATCGTATTAGGAACAAAGATTTTTTTCTCTCCTGTTCTTTTATATTTCCACCAATTGTTAATTGGTGTTAATAAGTACTAATTAAAATATGAGCAGCTGTAATCGATGTAAATGCCCATAAAGATCAGTTGTGAATATTCTAATATTTAGTGCCCATGGGGACAATCTCACGCTTCATTAGCGGCAATTAAAACCTCAATCAGTATTGTTATGACGGGAACGGGAAATCATTTTCGGTTGATATCCATCAAGACTATCGTGGAGGCGATGGACGAAAACCTTTCTCAGTGTTTGCGTGAGTAGGTATACAAGGAACTGACTTTTTTATTAGCCTGTTCAGTTACTTGTAGCAGTGGCGGAAATTCACTTTATTCGTTTGGGGGGGAGCAAAGCCTCCTAAATTTGCGTCAAAACTTTCAAATTTCCGACGTACCCCCCACTTGCACTCGAAAAGACTGTTTTTAGCCCTCTTTTAGGGTAAAAAAAAATTCGTCAATTTTCCGTGAAGGTGGGGGGGGGGGCGGACGCCCACCTTCACGAAAAATATTCCCTCCTCTAAATCTAATTTTTGATTTCCTCCTATTTTTAAATTGAAGGGAGACACCTCAAGTTGTATTTTAGTTGTATTAATATGTTTAAATCAGTTCGTGTGAAATACTAACCGTCAACGTCAATTTTTGTCCGATGTTTTCGAGTTTATTGTGAATAAACCGCGCTGAATTGTCCTTGCGCGTGTAGTTCTCCCCCCTGGAAAGAGCCTGAGACTAGTTACTTCAACATATTTTACATGAAGTTCCTTGGAAACAAAATGGCGGATTTCGAGGAGTGCCAATTGTTGAAATTCAAATGCAAATTTCTAAAAAACTGCAGGTTTCTAGCAGTGCCAACAAGCAGAAATGTGAAAGGTGAGTAAAAATTTATATATTCTGAGTTTTTGGCGTAGTCTCCGAAGGTGTCCAACGAAACTGAACGATAATCGGCTTGGGAATACGGACTATTATGAAATTCACGACCACAACACAAGAAGTGCATCTCAACTTCACACAACTTTCAAAAGAACTAACTATGCAAAACATACTCTTGCTCACAAAGGAATAAATGTTTGGAATGTTCTCTTAAATAAATACAAAAATATTAAATCTTACACTTCTTTCAAAACATGTATTAAAAAACACTTGTTATCAAATGAAAACGAAATGCAAATTGCATTGATATAAACTGTCCTATTTGTACATATAATTACCTTTATTTACTGATTATGAACTGATTATCTTTAGTCTATAACAAATTATGTTTCTGTAAATATAACATAGTCTAGGGATCTTAAAGTGCTACTGCAGCGAATTTTTGGACCTAGTTTTTTTTAGCTTAAATAAAAATTCAGTCTTTTAGAAGCATTTTCATATATATTTGACCATCATGCGATGCTTAGAAGTTGCCAAATTTAACCTCTGAAGTTGGTTATCGCGTGCGAACTTTTCTGTCGCCATATTGATGCCGTGTGACGTCATAAGATGAACAGAAACGAAGATATGAAGGTCGTATTTGTAGTAAATTATATGGCGCGTCAACATATTGCAGTGGAATTCTTGTCTATTTCACTTGCTTATGGCGCAGATAACTGATTTTTAAAAATCGAAGAACAAGTGCTATATCTTATTGTTTATTTGACGGCGGAATGATGGTTAGAGATTCAGATAATAGGGTCAGTACTGCATCTGGAAGTCAACGAGTATGGACTCGGCTAAGTCTGTTTTGAAATACGATGATGAACCAGTTGCCTAACAGCTTTTATACAGCTTCACTAGACGAAATGATAGAGAAATTATATAACGCCGCTGCAGATAGGCAACTACTACCATCTGTGACTGTGTTGGAGAAATCAAGCAATGGTACAATACCTGTAAAATTAGTGGTAAGTAGATCCTTTTTATTTCATGCATGTATATATAAATTGTATTGTGCTCGCCTCGGTATTGTGTCTGAACACATCTGGTGTATGTAACTTAATATTTATTATGAACTGGATTGCAATTGTGTGTGACAAAAAGTATAAAAACATTTATAAACACAGCATATTCATAGCCTAATAATTCGCAATACTCAAAATGATTTTGATTTTGCTTTCAATAGATAGCGATAGGTGTAATTGGCAATTACGGGCTGTGGTTCTATTGATGGCTATAGTTTTACTTGGATGGGAAACAGAAGAAAATAATTTCCAACAACAACAAAGACACAGCTGCCTTACGTTTGAGCAGAAAAGCGGTCGACTTTAGTTGGATTAGGCAGATTGTAACTGAGTCAGTTAACCAACCATTGAGTCAAAATTGTGCCACTGTGCAATATCACATTTACTGTAAAATTTTGAAATTATATTAATCTTCAAAGTCACAAATATATTTCTCACATAATAGCGTACCAGTACAATATTATACTATTGTATTATTATATTTATTGTTATTTTATATACTATGCAATATGTATTATTGATATGACTGAATATAACTCCAATGTCATTGTTTCTCTCAAAATGTCATCAGAAGTCTTGACGAAACTAGGTCAAGCCGTCAAGGCATGCTGAATTGTTGTCTTTATTTCAATCTAACAAGAAACTAACTTAACAGAAGATAGTCTTTTTACAACCACAAATGCTCTAAAACATAAGAAATGTTAAACACTTTAGACTAACTATATAGCATCATTTGCGCAAAATATTCACCATGTGTGCGAACATATTAATTTGTACTTCACTATAATATATACCTGAATTATTTGCCTTGCGTCTGTTAGTTGTACTTTAGCCAGGGGAACAAATCTAGCCATGTAAATTATATAAACGGTTTCTTCCTTCAGTATTCTTTCCATTTTACGAGGTTTGGTCAATGAAAATAAGCTATAGCACGAATCTTCAAAACGGGGTCAATGAAAACACTACTAGGTTCGCAGATGCGTGAAACCCGCGGTCAATGTTTACGGATAAAATTCACTGCCTTTCTTTCACTCTGTGGATCTGTTTCTTTGTTGGGAAATGGATGCATGGGTATTCCTTCAGGCTGTTCAGAATTCGTGCAATAATCTAAGTTAGAACTGCCAGAAACACAGCCTTCGTCTCCGCGTTTGTTGGTTTTACTTAAATTTTAATATGCCATGATAAAATCGTGTTCATCTTATGACGTCACATGGCATCAACATGGCCGATCAAAAGTTCGCACAGGAAGTGCCAAAAATGGCCACTTTGGAAGGCTATAAAATCGGTTTGAATTGACCAATTTCAATTCTGTTTGTGGTAAACAGGTTAGGAAGGAAAGCACTTTTAATTAAGCTAAAAAAATGAGGGTCGAAAAATTCGCTGCAGTAGCACGTTAAACAAAAGCCTTATAGGTTTCTAGTAGGCCCCTAGCTCTACTGTAATAATGAATTAGTAAACTTTTGTAAATATTATTAACATTTTTTTGGGCGAAATTAAATTAAATAAAATAAAAAAAAAATAAAATGTCAAATGCACTTGTAGCACAAATTATTGGAGCCTTGCCAGAAAGCCAAGCACAGGCATTTTCAGTTTTCTCGAAGTAGTCAAGTTGGTCATGCGAAAAAATTCGCAAGTCGAAAACCGGCTTAAACAAATCAAATGCACAGCCTCACGCTCATTCTGAGCAACACATTCGTTATTTTCAAGCACAATTGGTAAAAAGGATGATTAATCATTGTTTAATATAAATTTAAAAATTAAACGAAACTTACCTTAAGTTGAAGTCTGATTGAAATTCTACTCATCATCAGCTGGAACAAAGGAGTAACATGAGAAGCATGCACATTGCTTGTCAGTCAGTATTTAACACGAATGATTGCCGAAGAGCAAGGAATGAAGGAGTGCGGTGGGCCTGCCAAGAATAGAGGTGGGCATGTTACTCCTTCGTTCCAGCTGATGAGTAGAATTACAATCAAACTTCAACTTAAGGTAAGTTTCGTTTAATTTTTAAATTCTATCTCATCATCAGCTACGTCACTACGGAGTACCATGAAATTTTGAAGTTCGGTAATTATGAGTAATTTGATAGTCTCCGTAAGTTGGAAATGAAATATTAATATAACAAACTGAAACAGTTTTAATGAAATAAGCGTTCATTACCAAGGTTCAGTATTAACTTATTAACTGTAAACATTGTTTCAACAAATGTGAAGTTCTAAACTCGATCTCGTTCAGCATCTGCTGCAAACGCCTGCATAATATTAGTTCCCAGCGTTGTCTGTCACAATTGGTTTTTGATAATATGAGGCGAAAGTCTGAGCGTTGGACCAGCAGCCTGCTGCTTCAAGAATTTTGGTAAGTCTAGCTCCCTTCGCGAATCCATATGATGTTGCAGCCGCTCTGCTACTGTGCGAAGAATATATATTTGTGTCTATTCCCGCATCTCTGAGTACTTCCTTGATCCAACACGCTACCGTATCTTTCGATATTGGATTGTGTGGTTTTATGAAACTGACCAACAATTGTGAATTGTCTGTTCATATTGATGTCGTCCGATGAATGTATTCGTCTAAATGTCGAACAACACACAGGTCCCTGTCTGCATAGCTCGAGAGTTCTATTGGTTTTTGATGAGTTCCTGGCTTGGTGTGTTTGAGCTTTTCCCCAATGGTGAATATGTATTTCCCTGGCAACTTCTGCACAAGTTGTATGTTAAGTTTGTGAACAGTTTGACAACGTTGTCCAGTTAGGAGAGCCAGTATCATTACTAATTTATGGGAAAGCTGCTTCAGAGAAAGTTCCGAGTTCAGAGTTAGTGACCTTACGTAAGTTAGGACCTGTCCAACATCCCATATTTTCTTATATTTTGGCAATGCTGGCTTAATTTCAAATACACCTTTCAAAAACCGGCATACTAGTCGGTTTTCTCCAAATGACGTCCCGTCTTTAGGTGTTAGTATCACAGATAACGCTGACCTTGCTGTGTTTATAGCACTGTAGCTCAATTTCTGTTCAAATAAATTTGCCAGGAAATCTATGCCCTGCTCAACCGTAGCATTGGACCAATTACTGTTTCTCTCGGCACAAAACTGTTTCCACCTAGTAAGATATGTGCGGTATTGTTTCTTGGTACTTTCGCACCAAGATGCCATAATGACGTCTTTTGCTGTAGCTGAAATGTTATGTCGTTCTAGGTTTGTCCTGATAATAGACAAACTAGAAGTCGCAAGTTCTTGCCCAGAGGGTGTGTTTCCCCTGGTGAGTTTGGTAGTATCAGTCTGTCCTGTTTCGGAATGAGTAATACTGGCTTCCCTATGCACATGTTCATGGCCTTGGGATACCAGGCACGTGTGGGCCAATCTGGTAGAACACAAACACCCATGGCCTGGTCCTCTACAATTTTTCGTAAAACTGCTGGAACAACACTAAACGGGGGAAACATGTAAAATTTTAGATTTCCCCATTGTATCGTAAAGGCATCTATTATTTCGGCCTCTGGGTCAGGTCTAAATGATGCATACAAATGTCGGAGTGACATGTACCCATATGGTTAATGGTGGATACTGCAGTTGTGTTATCAGTCATAATTCTTATATGAATATTGTTAGCATTTTTGGCATAGCATTTCAGCCCAAAAAACACAGCTAATAATTCTAGAGCATTGATATTGTTAGTTTTTTCTGCTGTTGACCATGAACCTCCAGTGGATTCATTTTCAAATACTGCACCCCATCCTGTGAGTGAAGCATCAGTGGTTAGTACTTTGTCTGGGTTCCCATGTGAAATTAAGTTATGGCTTTCTTGAGCATTTTCCACCAATTCAATTTTTTTTAGCACCATCACTTAATGTCATGTACGCATCAAAATTACCAGCGTTTTGTCTTAATGCCCAAGTCTTATCGAGTTCAATCTTTCTATGGTATAATGCTCCATACATGACCCCTGGCAGGCTAGAAATAATTTTCCCCACTACTTGTGCCACTGCACGTATTTTGACCCTGTCTAAATCCACAAGTGCTTTGCAGTGTTCTGCAATGGCAGTGGCCTTTTCTTCAGTCAGAGAAATTATCATCTTGACTGAGTCTAATCGAAACCCTAGAATGATCAGTGTTTGACTAGGTTCAAAAACTGACTTGCTGGGGTGACTTATAAACCCTAGGGAGTCAAATTGTTCTACAGTATCAAGCACATTATTTTTGCATTTGTGAAATGTTTGACCTTGTAGGTATAGGTCATCTATATAATTGCTTGAAATATGCCCTTTCTTGTGAAGGGCTGTGAGGGGAGGTTTCAAGATTTTGGTAAACAACCTTGGACAACAAGACAGTCCAGTCATAAGATTTGTAATTGTTTGTAGTGTGTCCATTTTAAAATGGATATAGGTCACAGACTTGTTGAACTCTTTCAAGTTCAGAATGAGTCTGAATTGTCCATCTTTTTTCTGTCTGACAAAAATAGGAGAGATTATCTCCCCTGGTTCATGTGACGCTATTTCAATTACTTCCCTAGCAAGTAGTCTCTCGATTTCAGTATTTATAGCTAGTGTCTCAATGTGACTAAATTTTGGGTTAGGATTAACCCTACCTTGGTGTGGTAGTTCATCGAGGGGTATTGTAATACCTCTGATAGAGTCGAGTATTATTTTGTCTGAGGTCAGATTTTTCCATGCTGTAAACCTCTGAGCAGTCCTGCCTGCTTTGAAATCTACACATTTTTGTTCAAGATATTGGATCAAAAAGGAAAAATCGAAATAACTGCAACTTACATTCTCTTTAAGTGTTTGTATTTTCTCAGCTAAACTCACTTCCTTTGCTGGTTCTGGGACCCGTTGCCTCTCGTGCCGATATGAAATCGCTGCGAAGACCACTAACATGCCCGGAAATTCCAAGCGTATTACCTCTAAGCGAAGTACGTCCACTTTGGCATATTTTCTTTGTATGTCGCTGCTTTTAACCGGTGGAAATATTGAGAGAAACCCTGGACCAGTTCAGCAAGGGCACAATCTTAAACTTTGTGCAGAGAAGGGCTTGAGAATTTGTCACTTAAATATACGTAGTCTCGTCAACAAGATCGATGAAATTAGAGTGTTATGTGAAACCCACAAACCTCATGTGTTATGCTTAAATGAAACATGGCTTGATACGTCTATTGCCGATGGAGAAATACAACTCGACGGTTATTCGCATATACGAAGAGACAAAACTCGTCATCAAGGCGGTGTTCTTGTTTACATTGCATCAAATTTAAACTTCAAAGAGCGTGACAAGATCGGAGACAAAAGCGGTGAGCTTCAATGTTTATGGCTTGAGATTGTACCTCCCAAAAGCAAAGGCTTTCTTATTTGCTCTTCTTATCGCCCACCGAATTCCGACAACGAAAGGACATATGTCGAGGGCCTACGAAATATGCTTGATAATGTGAGTGATTTACAGAAAGAAGTTATTCTCATTGGGGATTTTAATTTTGACTTAAAACGGTCTAGAAAATCGGCGGCGTGTAAGTGCTTTGTTGATATGTCTAAGGAATTCGGTTTAAAGCAAATTATCTGTGACTACACTCGTGTAACTCAACACTCAAAATCATTGATTGATCTCTTTTTAACATCTCGTCCTGACCTATACATAACAGGAGTAATGCCTGTTGGGTTCAGCGACCACAGTGTAATATATGCGGTTCGCAAGCTGCATAGATTAAAACCTCCATCTTCACGGATCATTAATACACGAAATTATAAATGTTACAACCAGATTGCTTTTGTCGAAGACTTAAATAAAGTTCCCTGGTCGCAAATCGACATAACTGGAGATATTGAAGATTCGTGGGATGCTTTTAAAAACCTATTCAATGATGTCGCAGACTCTCATGCCCCACAAATTCATGTTCGAACGAGAGGTCAAAAAGTACCTTGGTTAACAACGGAGATTAGAAAATTAATGAAAGAAAGGGATAATCTTCACAAACTGGCGCTTAAGACCAATAGTGAACTACACTGGAGCTCCTTTAAACGCATGCGTAATGCTGTAACCCTTAAGTTAAGAAGAGAAAAGAAACATTACTATAACAATCAATTTCAGGAGAATGAATCAAACCCAAAGGGGACTTGGAAAAATTTGAAACGTTTACTTGGTAAATGTGGAAAAGGAACTGGATGCACTGGTGCAGGCTCAGCGACAACTGATTTGAAAGTTAAATGCAACATGTTTAATCGTTTCTTTGTTTCCTGTGCTACGAACTTAAGATCAATTTGTAGCACGACTGGCCATGCGTTCAAAAAATGGTTACCCCAAATGGAACATTCGGAAAGCTTTACGTTTCAACAATTTACTGATTCGGAGGTTCGAACTGCTCTGAGGGAATTAAAGGTGAAGAAAGTCACCGGTGTAGACGGCATACCAAGCAGATTGTTAAAAGACGGAGCTGACGTATTGGCCTATCCATTGACAGTTTTGTTCAATTTGTCAGTTCAACAATGTAAGATCCCTGGGGAATGGAAGAAGGCAAAAGTTACGCCACTTTACAAGAATGGCGCAAAGAGTGATCCAAAAAATTTTCGCCCTATTTCTGTTTTACCGGTAGTATCTAAAGTTCAGGAGCGATTAATCCATAACCAACTTTCATCGTATTTTGATGAAAATAACCTGTTGTGTAGATTTCAGTCAGGATTTCGAAAGAAACACTCAACAGAAACGGCGGTAACCCATTTTGCAGACCAAATTCTCATGGGCATGGATAAAGGGCTAGTGACGGGTGCCGTTTTCATTGACCTAGCTAAGGCATTCGACACAATCGACCATGATGTCTTAATTCATAAGCTGAAACATTATGGCGTATCCAATGAAAGTCTATTATGGTTTAAGGATTACTTCTGCGCAAGGAAGCAGTTTGTAACTATTGATTCGCATAGATCTGAAGAGCTGGATATCGCTTGTGGGGTCCCGCAAGGGTCAATTCTTGGCCCGTTATTATTTATCATTTACATCAATGATTTATCATCTTGTATGCGAAGCTGCTCAGTCAGTATGTATGCAGACGATACAGCAATATACTTTGCGGCCTCGACGGTTGATGTGGTGAATGATAACATCAATGAAGATTTAAATTGCTTATCTGAGTGGTTGAAAGATAATTACCTGGTGCTGAATATCACCAAAACCAAGTGTATTTTGTTCTGCTCACAGAGGCACGGTGAACGAAACAGAGCTCTTACCGTGAACTTCTTCGGGTCATGTATCGAAAGTGTTATCACTTTTAAGTACTTAGGTGTAGTATTCGATAGTCATATGACGTGGAAAGATCAAGCGGATCATGTATACAAAAAGGTTGCAGTACGAGTTAATGTCTTACGGCGTATTAGAACATTTCTAACGGAGAAAGCAGCAATACATGTTTACAACGGTATTATCCTGCCAGTGTTCGATTACTGTGACATTACCTGGAGTAGCCTTCTGCAACAAGACGAGGACAGATTACAGCGATTGCAACATCGCGCCGCAAGAATTATAACACTGAGTGAAAGATCATCCGAAGCGATGGAAAAATTAAAATGGTCTTCATTGAACTGTAGACGCTCTTACCATAAAGCTATATTAGTTTACAAATGTCTACATTCTTTAGTCCCGAATTATTTTTTAAATTATTTTAAGAAATTTAGTAATGTACATAGCTACAATACTAGACACAAAAATAGGCTAATACTTCCCAAAGTTAAATATAATTTTGGAAAAAATACTTTTATCTTCAGTGGGGTGCAGGTTTATAATATGCTCCCAGATCACGTGATGAAGGCTGAGTCCATTCACACGTTCGCACGTCTTGTACGAATTGTGTGTAATGAACTTTCTTATTGATGTGGAACATGGAAGTGACGGAACTGATTGCGACAATATTTTGTACTTTTATATATCATACCTTAAAATGTAATTCCTACAAATAGCTTATATCTAGACACAGGGCCCCTATGGATACCAGCCTTCGTGCTGAAAGGGCCACCCTGTTTAAATAAAGTTTTTCCATTTTCCATTCCATATATATATATATATATATATATATATATATATATATATATATATATATATATATATATATATATATATATATATATATATATATATATATACATATATGTCGATAAAGTTAATCCAAGCGAAACTAAACGGTACCAGGATGAAGTAAGCCGGCTCAAAAAGGACCTTTCTAGTGAGAGGGAGAAATGCAAGCGCTTGGAAGCTGATCTGTCTATTCTAATCAAAGGAAGATCTTGTGAAGTTAATGAATTGAACGATATTATTGCCTCTCTTGAATTTAAACTTAAAGCCACTGAGGCGACCAATGTGTCCTTGAGAGATCTAATTAAGACCAAAATCTCCAATTCAAAGCAGAATGAAATTTTCCCTAGCAACACTGCCACAAGGAACGATAAACAATGCGCGGTCAATCATGTAGAACAAAGCAATCTTGTCCTTAATCGAGTTTTGGGTGATGAAAACTCCCTGACCGACCTTGCACAGAAGTCGCACGTGACTTCCAATCTAGTCGTTTCCAACAATAGACGCGTCGACAAAGACTTATCAGTTAAGGATAATCAGTTAATTTTAAATAGTGATAACAGCCCAGCCGACCTACTACAAAGCCATAATAATAACCTGATCAATGGCGCCAAATCTCGCGACGGTCAGCACATGAAAGGTAATTCGAATGCAAGGAAATTGCCAAATATTACCGAACTCAAATCCCTACTTCAAGTCCCTGGAGTGTCAGCTACTATGAATTTTCAATCTTATGATTCAATGATTC